TAATACTGCAATGGAGGTTTGCCACCAACGGCGGTGTGGGTTGCAGCTTTCTCTCGCCGCGGAGGTTGAAATGGAGCTTCGCGCGGGGTGGGGGTGGGGGGCTGCGCTCGTTGCTGCCATGGACAGACCTTGAAGCTCCCTGTGCTTCGCCAGATTGGGTGAAGGGGGAGAAGAGATGACTGATCCAACAGATGTGGGACAGGCGATCGTACGGCGAAATCAGCCGGTTGATTCGTAGCATCACCCGGTCTTTTGTAAATAATTAATAAAGTAGCTTTTTGCATCGCTCAGATACAGAGGCCTGGGTCTTCCTCTTTTAAAAAAAATCTAACGCACGCGCATGCTGTGAGCCTGTGAGCGGAGTGACATGCTGCGAGCCTGTCAGCATTCCACGGAGCCCTAAGTTCTGCCTGAATGTCTGTCGTACGTGCGTAGGCATGGCGTATAATCTCCTTGTACAGTACAAGATAGTTTTCGGACAATACATACGCGTGTTGTTGCTGTCAGCGTGAGCTTAACAAGGGACGACGAAACCAAGATTCCGGCAAAGGAGCGACGTGCCCAATGCCAGCTACGTACCATGCAGATGAGATGCATCGCCAACTCCAGCACATATAAATACACACACGACCCAACTCCACAACCACACACAAGTGAAGCACTTGCCTAGGTCGGTCGGCATCGATCTGCTAGCACTGCTTGTTTTCGCGCAGTTCAATTTCTATCGCTTCCCATTCCCAGCCTTTGAGTGTGACCATGGTCTAACGTTTTTGCAGACTGATCGAGCTTGCAGGTCCGAGGAGATCAAGGAGGAGGATGCCGTGGGACATGAGCAAGACGTCTTGGCCGGAGGTGCTGGGCTGGCCGGCGACGCAGGCCGTGACGCAGATCAACGCCGACAGACCCGACGTGGCGATAGAGGTGATCCCCAATGGCACCACCGTCGCCCCGGGGTACAATGCCGAGCGCGTCCGCGTCTTCTTTGCGGCCGGCATTGCCTACACTGGCCTCGTCGTGTCCACCCCTCACGTCGGCTAGCTAGCGCCTTACCTTGCCGCCAGCAGCTCAAGGGTTGAAGCTGAAGAAAGGATGAAGATGCAATAAAAGCACACCTGAATAAAGGAAATTCCTAGAGCAACAAGTAATATAAAATCTCGTTTACTTCCGGAAAATTGGCAAAAGAATCATCATCGGGGCATCGCTGATTGATCCCAAAAAACAACTCGCTGTCTATATCCATGAAACACTTTTAATTTCCCAAAAATACAAGGGGAGCCAAATACAATGCCCCCTTCCGAAATATTGGGACAAACGGCACACAGCGAAAAAAAAAACCCTGCCCAAGGGGCATCTCCAACGCCGACCCTCAAATCTCCTGCATCCGTTCGGGTCATGTTGTCCAAAGCGCAAAAGCCATTTTAACGTGTTTCTGTTCCGGTCCGTGGCACGGTTCGGGCGCGTTTTCTCTGGCAAACCAAAGACAAACATGGGAAAGTTTGTAGGAGTCTGGACCGCTATCACGCCCGCTTCTGACCGCCCGGGTCCACCCAAAACCCCTCCCCCCGCCCGGGCGCTCTTCCGGCCCATCGCCAGCTGCCCGCATTCATGCCTCTGTAAAGCGCGCTGCTTCACATTGAAGGCGAATCAGGGCGGACGCGAACGTCTCACTGCCTTCGTCATTGAAGCGGCGTGCCGGCCGAGCACGCCGCCCGCTACACGCCTCACTGAACACGCCTCCTCGCCGCTTTCAAACTCCTCCATTAAACCCATGTGGAATCCAAGAAACCTACATCGGCCACATGTCCGTTCACGAGCGGGCCGGCATTAAACGCAACGCCGGGTAGGCTCCTTCCATCCGCCCTTTATTTAAACAAGACCAGACACCAGGCAAGAATTGCATCACTCCGTCGTTCCATGTCTCCTATTTCCACAATTTTCTCCAATCTTTCGATGGCATCCGACGAGCCGGAGAGCAGTTCCGGCATAAAAACCAGCTGGGTAGGTCGTCGAGTCCGGTGGATAGGCGCCACCTCCCTCGCCTAGCACAACGGAGCAAGTATCCTCCCAAAGCCGGCGTGTGGTTCACCATCTTGCCGCTCGAAGCCAACTCGTCGTCTCAAGCATACACAAGGAAGAGTTCATACATAAACATAACATGAATTTCACATAGTTTTGGACATCAGAGTAGGATCATCAACATCAGAAGGCGTCATTTCATTTGGTGGATCGTGGCTAGCTAGGCGCTCACCAGATGGGGCACTAAGAGGAGCCCACGTCTTCAATGTAAGCTGA